GTATTAATTATACGGCTCGCCCATGCTGCATTGATCATAATCGTCTACGTCTATATTGTTGCCTTTTACTCTGAAGCTACTAATATTTACGTATTTATGATCCTAAATGGTCATTTTTATATATTTGTGCTATTTTCGTGGACATTACCCAGTATTATGTGGGTGATTTCCATATCATGCGCAAATATAATGGAGTCTATAGCGACCAGGATGCATAATTTAACTAAAGAATACCCAGGTTAATATTGTTTTTATTACTTAATTAAATTATGTAAACTAAATTATTATATTTTTAATTTCTCTCTCTCTCTCTCTCTCTCTCTCTCTCTCGATTGTTAACACATTTCAAGTGATAGCAGACCTGAATATAATTTTTTGCTTTCAAATGCCTTTTGGGTAGAAATGGGCAGAAAAATTGTATCAAAGACTGGAAACATAACTTTGGATTGAGTTTTGAGAATCTCGAGTGCATTCACTCTTCTCAGACATTGCAACCAATCCTCAGATTCACTGCAATTGAAATGTTTGGCACTATTTTTGGCCATAACTAGTGCTTCAGATTTTGTGATTGTTTCCCTTCCTTTCCCCCACATAGCGGACCCGCTTTGCATAATAGCCCTCTTGAATAAACCTTTGGATAGCGGGGAGAGTATGTGTGCGGACACCGACCAACTCCCGGCGCTCTCACCAAAAATGGTCATCTGATCCCTATCTCCGCCAAACTGTTCGGCGTTTTCTCTGACCTATTATTTTGTCATTAATTAATATATTATTTCATCATTTAATAGAAATTATAATCAAAATAAAAAATATCAATTGATACCCATTTGAGAGCCAATAACTGGTCATAAAAGCCCACATTTCCGGGCGCGTCCTCCCGATCCCCGTATAGAAAGCCCAACTGTCCTAATCTATAATTAGCGGCAACAAAAACCACATCGTGTGCGGCCAGAAAACTACCATTATACGTATTCATTGACCCAAATACTAGAGCTCCACCATGTATCCAAAACATAATGGGTTTGAGCTGTGATTTGTTTGTGTTATTATTGCCCGCATTTGGTGTCCATATATTTAATACCAAACAGTCTTCACTTACTTCTCCCTTCATTATTCTTGACTGCACTTGTATACAAGCCTTACCACGTTTTGTATCATTGATAACATACTTAATAATTAAATATTTATTTAGTTTAATTTAATTGATATTTTTAATAAAATTAATTTTCTAATCAAATATACATTTAAGGGTTGTTTGAGAGGCACAGGCGGTGCGAACCGTAGGTTTCCGATCGGAGGCTCAGCGTATGGTATATTCAAAAACTGGTTAACTGTATTGTTGAGCACATGTAGTGTCCGACCCCTCACTACACCCGATGTTGTTTTCACATCAATACAAATAATAAATGAAAAACACAATATTACTATTGATACAAATAATATTAAATAACTTTTATTAAAAATTTTCATTTTCTTATAAAATACTATATTTTTAGCATTAAGTTACTGTACATTATATACATTTATAATATATAAAACAATAATTTAAATACAACTGAATAAATAAAACTGAAACCATGTACTATTAAATATTTCTAAAACCGCTTACTTTATTACATTTTAAACAATATAATTTTAATTATGTTATCACGTTGTTAATTTATATGAAAAATATCATTAATTGTTTTAGTTTTAGAAATCACAAGATAATAAGTTTACTTTGTAAAAATGTTAATTTATTTATTCATTATAACCACTGATACTTTTTATTCATCAATATACACGTAATAGGTAAAGCACTATTTGTACATTGAAATAAAACATAAATTATATTATATAATGATTATTATTTATATTTAAAATAAAACACTAATTATTAATAAATTATGCGTATATTTAGCATTTTATTTGAAATTATATTGTGTTTTGAATTAATATCATGTATTGATGTGAAGACAACATCGGGTGTAGTGAGGGGTCAGACGATAGATGTGTTGAACGTAAGTATTGACCAGTTTTTGGGTATACCTTATGCCGAACTACCCGTCGGGAGATTTCGGTTCGCCAAACCTGAACCCATCAAAACACCACTCAATGTAATTTTAATTGAAAATTTAATACAAATATGGATCAAACAATAACTTGTAATAATAAATAAATTTTTTATAATTTTTTAGTACACAATAGACGGATCAAAAACATGCAATTCATGTCCGCAAATGCAATTGAGGCAAAACAAATGGGATAAAATGAACATAACATATAGTGAAGATTGTTTGGTATTAAACATATGGACACCAAATGCGGGGAAAAATAACACAAACAAATCACAGCTCAAACCCATTATGTTTTGGATATACGGCGGGGCACTTATGATGGGATCAATATATTATATGCCTATTTATAATGGGAGTGTTTTGGCCACACATGATGTGATGATTGTGTCCGTCAACTATAGGTTAGACAACTTTGGTTGGCTATACGGGGATCGGGAGGATGCGCCCGGAAATGTCGGCTTTTATGATTAGTTATTGGCTCTCAAATGGGTATCAATTGATTGTTTGTTTTATTATAATTTCTAAACTTATTATTAGTATATAATAATAATAATTGAAATAATATGTGAATTAATGATATAATAATAGGTTAGAGAAAATTCCCATAAGTTTGGCGGAGATAGGGATCAAATCACCATTTTTGGTGAGAGCGCCGGGAGTTGGTCGGTGTCCGCAGACATACTCTCCCCGCTATCCAAAGGCCTATTCAAGAGGGCTATTATGGAGAGCGGCGCCCATATGTATAACAAAAACATCGATCGATTGACTAAATCCCAGGCCTTAACAAAAGCAAAACAATTCAATTGTACCGAAACTAGCGATTGGTTACAATGTCTGCGAGCGCTCAACACTGACGACTTGATTGCCCCCGAATTGGGACTTAGTTTTCCCTTAAATGGCGATCAATTTTTGCCACTCAGGGCTAAAAAAGCATTTGAAACTATGAAATATAATCATGGTAAATAATAGATATTATAATAATTAGGTTAATGAGTATAATTATTATGTTTGATGTTTAGATATCGATATAATGGCTGGTGTGACACACGATGAGGGCTCATCACTTTCATAGATTGTATTATGGAAAGTGATCAAGATGACTTTTGATGTTTTCAAAAAATGCACAAAAGAGTTTAATGACAGTTTTTACCCGGGTATTGACCCTGATAAAACAAATAAATTTTACCTTAAAGGGGTAAACACGTCAAGCGAATCGGCCCTTCGGCGAGCATTTTACGACTTGACGAGCCATCTCATGATTACTTGTCCCACATATATGTTTGCCAAACAGTTTGCCCGTAATGTTAAAGCAAATGCGCATAATGTTTATTTCTACCAGCTCACCTATGTTAGCCAGGTGTTGGCCAATCTGTATAACTGTGACGTTGCCACCAAGGGCGTTTGTCACGCCACTGATTTGACCTATGTGTTTGGCATACCGTTCCTTATGCCCGATATCGCCACACCCGACGACATTTGGTTTAGCCGTTATATAATGGAGATGTGAATTAATTTCGCAAAATACGGGTAAATTATTTTTTTGAGTTTAATTTAATTGTAATTAATGTTTGCGTTGTGTTTAGTAAACCAGACGATAATTGGCCGCAATTATTGGCTAACAATACAATTAATGTGAAAGACTTGAATCCAATGAATACGAGCCGAGTATTGGATAATCCCTTTTATAGCACTTGCGATGGCTTTTGGACGGATTATTATATGTAAAATAATTGTCACAAAATAAACAAATATAATAATATGTGAATATGAAAATAAAAATTATCTAAATTCACCTATATCTTAAATTCCTCATTTGTTTAATCACAAGTAAAGATCATGATTAAAATTTAATCAATGTTTTAATTTGAATATATAAAAAATTAACATAATTGCTAAATTGAGTTTATATCAGTATACTGGAAAATATGGTAATAAAGTTGTCAAACAGGTATTCATTGGATAAAGACTCGTGAGAGCACGTGTTGAAAGGAAAGTGGCGTTTTGAGCCATTTTGTGATTTTAGACATTAGATTCACAATTGATTTTGTGTTTAGTATCAGTAGTTGTCCTGTAATTGAGTACTGTTTTGTATTTTATGTTATTGTTTTAAAAAATGTCTTTAAATTTAATGATTGTGATTTAAAATTATCAATTAATGTAATTTTTATATTATAAATTAATTAGATTCATGTATTTTAATACGTTTAATACGTACAATTTAATTGTAACATATAGGCTTAATAAGTTGATTATTAATTATAGTTTTGTATATTCAGATGTCTTGCATTCATAATTAACTATCTATTGTATATTGTATTGTATTGTTGTTTGAGATGTCATGAGATCTCATGATATCTGGAAACAGGTTTTGGTTGTCATAAAATGCAGTTTTGAAAACACGTGGAAATTAAACAAAACTACAAATACACTGAATATACGTTTCTATCATTGCATTCATTGTGTGTATCGTTTATTATTTTAGTTTTAATTAATATTTTTTGTTGATTTGATTGAAAATGTGTTCAAAATTAATGCGTTTTTCGTTGATTGAAATGAAGAGTAAATTAAATGCAATGA